GGGGGGGGGGGGGGCTGAGTTGTGGAGTAGTCTATGTTTGTCCAAAATTTGATTGATTGATTGATTGATTGATTGATTGATTGATTGACCGATTGATTGATTGATTGGTTGATTGATTGATTGATTGATTGATTGATTGATTGATTGATTGATTGATTGATTGATTGGTTGATTGATTGATTGATTGATTGGTTGTTTGATTGATTGATTGATTGATTGATTGATTGATTGATTGATTGATTGATTGATTGATTGATTGATTGATTGATTGATTGATTGATTGATTGATTGATTGGTTGGTTGGTTGGTTGGTTGGTTGGTTGGTTGGTTGATAAAGAGGCCAGGTCTAAAGTGCAACAGCACGCGCCGGGTGGGAGTAAGCGGGTTGTATATGTGCAAGTGGTGTAATACCTGATGGAAGTACGTTATACAACTCCTCCACAGTTTCAATGCATTCACAACACGTGTCTGTACATCTTGAATGTGACAATATTCAATATAAGTGAAGTTGATAGATTCTAGAAGTGTTAACCAGGTCTACCCAAAGTGGTAGCCAAAACCTACGTTGAGGACGTTGATCTGGTTTTTGAGCTGGATGATCTCCTTCTTGCAGTTGATGTGATCATCACAGCCGTTGGTGACGGTGCCGGAGCTCCCCTTTCTCGTCAGAAACTTGCCCGATCTCTGGATCTCGAAACCGTGTCTCAGGCCCTGCCAAATCTACAGAGAAGTACAAATACAAGCCAAATGATGGTCATCCTGCATCTGTGTTGTGTTGCCGCGGCTCTGTGAATATTCCACCGTGTCAATGAACATTCAAGCATGCTCAAATTTGTAAAATGATATGTGAATATTGGGACATGTTATATGAAATATGTATTATACTGCAAAGTGGATATATGACTAGTGAGATCAAACAATGCCAATGTATAAAACCTGTATAATTTGATATATGCTGACATGTATTGACACATACGTCACTTACAGCGCATCACATAAAATCTGCTATAGGCCCTTTTGATTTCATAGAATTGTCTAGCCTCCACCAGCCTAGAGGCCCAGATCTAGAGTAATTGGCTAGGAAAGTCAGTCCACGGAAAGGTTAATGTCCTCCTCCGGCGCGGGTGAATGAACTCCCCTGGCCTATTTGGCTATTTGTCTAAATTGTACTGCTTTTTGAACCCCCGCTGTTAGTCTGGTAGAGACTTACCTTGGGAACAAAGACCAGCGCCAGAGTGGTGGAGGTGCAGACGATGATGCAGACAGACAGCACGGCGAAGCTGATGTCGAGCTGCTGCGAGTCCAGCAGGTTGATGATGGGAACGCCCACGGCTGACATGATCATCACGTTGTACACACACAGGCCGATCTGCTTGGAGTCGTTCAGCTCGGGGATCTGGACCTTCCGCGTCTCCCAGGCCAGGAAGATGCCGAACAGAATCAGGATTCCTGACAACATGGAACAAGAAATCGAGGATTTCAGATTTCCCGAAAGTTATTGCAATCCGCGGCTTCCTGAATTCCCCCATGTGACCATTAATTTCTGCTGGCTTCCAGTCAGATTCAGAGACGTTCACGTTCACCCCATTGTCTGATTATTACGTGTGTGTGCATGAAATATTAGAAACACGAGCCTATTGCCGTGTTCAGTTGCGATGTTTTCGTTTTGAACAGAATAACACTGACTTTCCTCAGTCTGTGAGGCTGGGAATGCCAGTCGTGATGTTAATCATCTCTCCATATTGGCGCCCTGCCACTTGTTTGTAGCAACAGTCGCATGTTTACGTTGCTGTACAATTTCTTCACATGTTCAAAGCAGGTGACACGTATCAAACTACGCACGCACAGCAGAGCCTGAAGAAAAGGCCTTTGTTGATGCATCAAATGTCAAAACTGTAGGGCGTCTCATTAACATTGCTTCATCTTTCTTCTTTGTGAGTACTCGCCTGAATACTGTTGTCTGTTCTTATATTAAAGATTCATGTCAAAGAAGACTTTCAAGAAACGGCAAGGGTAAAATCCCTGCTCACCACGAAATGTCATTTTAGTTAATGTTGTAACAGAAAATCAGTAACCTTATGAATATACAAGCCAATGTGAAAGTTTGTGATAATATTTTCTTCAACCTTTGATAGATATATAGAGAGAGCACGTAGCTGCATCATATGTATGTCATTGACAACGGATGGAGGGTGCAAAAACGACTTTCCAACAGTAGAAATGAGTCAGCAGAGGTCGGTACTGAATCACCTTTTGATGCGTAGATGATTCCGAGCCAGTACATCAGGTAGTTGGAGGTACATCGCCTCAGCTCCGGGAGGTACAGAACGTCATTACGGTTCGGATCCTCCTGTGTGATCAAACATAAGTCGTTGATTTATCAATGCTCTTACATAGACGGGGAGCTGCACATGGGGGAGGACTACCACGCTGCACATGGGGGAGGACTACCACGCTGAGCACGACTGTTGAGTTAAGATATATATAAACCCATATGATTGTTCATTGCTTATACATTTATCTGATATATCCCTAGATGGTCGTATGTGCACAAAACCTGTGGCGATTCTGGTGAACTCAATCAAGTGCTGAGAGGTATATTTTTAAAGACCGTATTTCATTTTGCCATAAGCTACTGAAGATTTCCAATCTTCCCAAAAGACCGCTTTAAGAACACCCCTTGGGTGCTGATGAACCTGCCCTGAAGCCAGTTCATTGACTTCACCAATCAGAGCGTTTCATTCTCGAGCTCCCTGTACGCCGCGACGTGAATTAGATAGAAGTGATAGATGCCGCCGCCATGGGCAGAGTCAACCTCCTTCCCTCAGACGATCAATCCGGGTTCCATCCGTGCTTTTAACTCTTTATATAACAGGTGATGCGCCTGGCTACAGATCCACATGTACGGATAAGTAATATGTGTGTATGGCTACATGTAGGTACAAAATCGCTACTATTGCGGCGTCACTGATTGCAGCAAAGAGGAAGCAGCTGCCCAAATGTCTCTTCTCTATTATAGAGGAGTTAAAAGGCATAAATTTACACATCTACGCCACAGCGTATTGCTTTCAATCGCTGCACTATTTTGCCGAGCAGTGTTTTTTTCAACCTTTACTTAACCTTGAGAAAATATATTCTTCGGCCTGAGATTCTTTTCAAGAGTTCATGGGAGGACGGTTAGGGGTCTTTACAGAAAATGAATAGAGTTTCTTTTCCTCTGAAGCCCACCCACACACTCGGACAGCCATCTAGATATATACATCAATTTGATCTATCTAGTTTGCGAAAATCCAGATGATAAATTACACACCCTCCAGCAAAAGTAATCTTTCAACGTAATCTCCACCGTTCCTCGTCCTTTGGCACCCTTCTGCTATAAGGTCAGACTGCGCAGTCTTTGCTTTGTAATAGAATACGTGCTTCTAGATCTGCCTTCTGTCATATCAACAATCTCTGACACTAAAACAACCGGACGGAGATCTGACTGCCGACGCCGTATGTCTGCGGGCGATGTTTCCCGTCGGAAGACAGACTTACCTCTGGTGGGAAGCTCTCTCGCCGTACGGTGATGGGGTCCAGAACCTCCCACAGCATCAGGAACAGCACGTCCATCAGCAGGAAACTCCCAACCATCGCGAACAGGTGGAAATCCTTGATCACCTGTGTGGGATGGAGGAGATCAACCTTAGTCCAGGAGTTTTGTGAAACTCCTTTATTCATTAATTTATTCAGTCTGATTCTATGCATTTTTCACCAGCTCACATACGTACGGCACCAGCCATGCATATAGTAGGAAATTAAAAACAGGAAATGAGAGAGACCTTTCCTGGGAGCTTTGACCTAACTTCCTGTGAGTGTCTCCGACGTGTCCAGCATGTGGAAATAACTACAGACACACAAACATACAAGCGGACAAACCAACAAACAAACCCTCCGTGCATGGAGGTAGATTTTTCTATGCAATCATATTAGACAAGACCACTGTTGGTTTGTGAGACGGTGAGACCTGAACTATATTTACAGTACGTTCGCGACGTTTTTGCAGTCTGAAATTCTTTGAGCTGTAATATTTCCTAGTCCTATGCTGTTTGGTAGATGTACGATGTTTGGTAGTGTTTGTGGGTGGATGTATACCTTTTTCTCCACTTTGGTGTGTCGGAAGAGAGCGTAGACTCGCCATGTTTTGCTGAACATGCTGCCAAACGCCAGAGTAAACCCCACGACCATGATCCACACCCGAGCCTGGATGGACGTAGACACAACATCGTGTCATCCATATCCAACGATCAAATTGCAACAATGATACCTAAAACTACTGGGTTTTTTCTTCTTAAGGTGGCTGTATGAGTTTGCTTTATGCAATAGGGCATTTAGGCAAAGGGGAATTCAATCTTGTCCAGTAAACTAGTTGCGCTGAGCCCTAATCTCAAGACCAGGTTTGGCGGAACCAGATATGCTGATGTATTCCTACGTACCTTGCACATGTAGAACGCCTGGTTGGACTCGGCCACGTTCTCTGTGAGTCCAAACAGGATGATGGCGAGATAGGCAAATATACAGCCCAGGATGAGGGCATTGTTCAGTCGAGGCGAGGACATCTTGATTACTCTGTAGAACACGGAAGAACACACAGATCAAAGTACTCTCATGATCTTCAACAATCAACAATTTATACAATCTATAGCCATGGAAGCTTAGCTAACACATCTGACCATTCTGCAAACGATTACAAGAGCTCCCTTGTCTGTTCAGCTATGTGACAAAAATGCATCTATTAGTAAGACTTGTTAAAACACAATCTTCTTAAACTGATTGACAACATGTACTCTTTTAACAGTGGAGGTATACGGATACCAAAATACGCAGAAGATCACAAAAAAATATCGAACCTTTTTTCCCTGAACTTGAAATTGAAGGCCAGGAATAAGAAACAGAATATGACCCCGAGGCCTGCCAGGCTGACCATGGTGTAGAACAGGCCGTCAGAGATGCGGATCTCCCGCGTGATTTTCCGGACCTCGTCTACTGGTGGTTGCCCACCTGAAACAGGTGGTACAAACATAACATTAGCATCAATACTGTGACCTCATTTTTCTGTAAATTTTTTTTTTGATGGAATTATTGTGTATTTCTCTATAATTCTGTTGACGCATTTTTCTTCTGGCTCCCACAAGGCAACAGATGAATTTAGCAGGAAAGACAGAAAATAAGATAACCTTCAATGGGCTACTCTGGAACCTTTTTTGACCTTTAGTCTACTTTCCCCGACGTGTCTAGCATGTGAACATAACAAACGGACACTTTAAACACAAAGCCGTTTCATGGAGGTAAACATGATTACAGATACAGGTGGTGAGGTATTTTGGCAGCCTACAATGCCAATGGCAATGACAAACCAAAGTCAGTCAAATTTGATGTGCTGTAGACCAAACCTAAACTGGACTACCATCTCATATGCATTGGGGTCGCCAGTATGTTAAGCACGGGGCCAGCAATCATCATTATATACATCCGCACACGCGAAAGAGCGTCGTATTGCTTTTGATTTCCAATGCAAACACAAGAGACATTTGAGTGATAGTCACCCGTTACACCCAAAAGACGAGGCACTTGGCAGTTGCCTGATACTGCACTAATGCATATGTGCGTGGGCGGTCTCCTGACAACTTAATACTGTATCACCGCTCAAAGCCTCGATTGTCGTACAAACACCGACTAGAGTCAGGGGTTAGTCTGCTACTCTTATTGATAAATGCCTCGAACGAGGAACTCCAACTTAGAAATAGAGACACCCTCGTGTATAAGGTCATGCGTTTCTTTACAGCATCGCCTAACTACATGAAACATAAGCCCCCACTCAGGCAAACTCCCCTCGGGTTGGCAATCTCTCATCTCTCCTGCCATATGTTCCCGGCGCCGCATAGCCTGACAGGGAAACGCGTCACTGCGTAACTTCATAAATTTAGGAGCCGTTTGGGAAGGAAATGATATTTCTAGTGTCAAAGCTCACCTGTTTATCATCCATAAGTATGCCAGTGGCCATTCTTGATTTTACGGCACACACATCAATGGTTTAAGAGGGGTACACGAGTCACAAGTCTCAAATGAGAGACTTTGAAATTCATGACGTGTAGAGAGCTCGTAAAAATGCCACACACGTCTATTTTACAAGATACAGGTGCATTGCGTCTATATTTTCCTGCTTTCCTGTGTTCGCAATTGTTTAATCTGAATATAACGACGACCTAAATAATAGGAAAAGTTGAATATTAAAAGACTCCGGTATATTCGCCCATAAGGTTGGATATGCCTTGAGGCTACGACTGGGCTCAGGCGAGGTCGTAACCATTTTGATAGTGAAGCTGTCTCCGCCATATGGCAGTAACTACGTAACTACGTAACTGCAGCCACTCATTTCTTCATCATTATCAGCCCATTAACCGAAGCTGTAAAACAACTAACCGACGTTTATCTGGATCATACTTGTTTATGCCATTGTAAATCACAGCGCAATAAAATCACCGGAATATTGATTTTGTTTATACATCGGCCACGCGCTGATATTTTTACCAGTGACTCACACAACATTACTTGCAAGGTTCCTTGCGTCATAGAGCCTTCCCTAAGGCGTAGTCAAAAGTGTAACCGTCACCTCTCTCTAGAAAAAGTGCCGGCAGAGCTGATCCCCTGTGGGTGTAATGACAGATAGGCAAATTACTCCGTCTTCAGACGGTGACCGGAAGGTTAATGCGCCGACTTCCCTAATCCCCGGGCCTCGGAACTGCCACGTGACACGGTTCATGCGTCCCTGACAGAGAAACCGGTGATTTCCATAGATAACGCTAATTTCGCGCCAGCAATTACCACACTGTCACTGGTGATGGAATAGATATCGGCTTTATGGTCATCAGCGTTTACCGGCAACGGTTGTCAGTATCCATGGCTTATTTTCACATTAAGGTACTGAGTGATCAAAGCTTAGGACGCGTCTGTCAATCTACTAAACACGTCGGAATGATAAGTCTACTGATTGACTAACAATCAGGCGACGACAGTTCTGACCATCAGCGAGGGCACATATTCATGCCATGTAGCGCTCGTAAAAATGCCTTAATTTCACAAAGTACAGGTGCATTGGTTTTCTGTGTTTCCTATCATCAAACATGAGGAACCTGGTTGATTGAATCGGTAAAAAAAAGAAATCTTAAAAAGACGTTAAAGACGTTCAAAACAAGAAATGCGAGGTTTTGGACTCCCGGGAAGTTTTTTTTTTTTGCCTTTCGTGTCCCTGTAAGTTCACCCCCATTTCCTGTGCCTGACCTTTTGACCTGCCATTCTGCCTGTCAATCTTCTCCGACCCAAATACTAAAATACTTTGTCCGGACAAACAGGCACACAAACCCACTACTCAGCCACCCAAAACAATACCCGGAAGTACAGATGCAGAAAAGGTTTGTTTTATTCACCTTTCCACCTTAGAGGTGTTGCTTGGCTCCATTTTATCTTCCTCTCGTACGCGTGGAATTTTCCAACTTCCACAGCTTTGCCATCTACAGAACATATGTTATGTTCAACAAAATTACAGAAATACAGCATTATAAATATTACATTACTCTTTACATATTACTCTTCCACATTACAATCGATAATGTACCCGCATGACATATCTTCGCTCAGTCTGTGCAGTTGAATTCCCTATTATCAAAATGAAATAATATTCACCAAACCTCTCCCAACTGCATGAATGCCCCATGCTCCGTGCCCTACAACGATTTGACCTCTTTAACTTGTACTCGACCTCTTAAGTGTTTGTAAAGAGTATCTTAAACCCGCACGCCGACGTACCTTGTATCTGTTTGATGATGATACGACCCAGGCGGTCACCAGTTTTGTCAAAGCGGACCGGCCCCTGCAGTTGTGGACATTTTGGGTTTAAAAGACTTTTTTAAAGTCTTAAAAGTCTTTAAAGTCATTAAAATGTCAGGAAATGCCCACAGGAACTCAAGCACAGAAATGAATTTATAGGCAACACTCATTTGCATTTACATTTAGTGATCTTTTATGCCATAAAACCTCAGGAATCATAAAAACAGCAGGTCTTGTTTTTTAAGAAGTTTGATAATTACCGCACGATGACGAACAGTACTCCTCGTCCAATTTACATTCCTTGAAAAAAATGAAAACGCTGCAAATGATTTATATATAAATCCGGTACGCACCGAAACCCCGAAGAAGTTTGTCTTTTCCATGTTGCGGAAGAACACACTGTTCATCCGGTGGTCCGCGTAGGTCCAGTTCTCCAGCCCTATGCCGGGGGGAAGCTCCGCCGCCGACGCGTTCAGGGCCAGCGCCGCGGCGTACACTGCGTCAAACGCCAGCGGAACGTAGACGGTGGATTCGGCCTCCGTGGCATTGTACTTCAATCTGGCGTAGTCCACGTGAGCTTTCCAATAGTGGTTTGGCGACGACTGGTAGTGGAAAGGACAACATGAAAATCATTGGAGTCATCAGTATAATCACAGCTTGCATCCTGATCATGAGCATTACAGTATTCTTTTCTGAAGTGGTATGAACAATTTTGACGTATTTCAATGTTAAGTGTGAGTGTTGGCCGCGTATCTTGTGCCAATGACGTTACATCTTTGACGATGCACCGTCGAATTGTTGGTATAGAAATATGCCAAATTCGCCTTCACCACAATTCATTATAATCTTACTTACATATCCAGCTATGCCTCGTTCGCCTTCATCCGCGAAAAATGACGGTTCTGTGAAGATGCTGTATTCTATGGCTTGGTCTATCTCCTCCGCCGTGCAGTCCAGCGTGTCAGACTTTCTGGGCTTCCACCAGTTCCCCATCAGAGCACCGTTGAAGATCCACAGGTAGCGAGATCCATACATCCCGTTATTGTAAACCTGGAGGTTCAATTAGATGGATGACGAAGACTCTTGTAGCCAAAAGATATCGGCCAAACAGAATTTCCCATTTCACTTCACTCGGTAGTTTGTTCGGCAGTATGCTTGTACAGCTTGTATGTAATTTTACCTGTTTGACCTGACAATCCATTGCCATTGGTCATGGTGTTAGGGTCAAAGGAATCAAAGGAATCTCATGAAGCATGTTGCTCTTGCTTAATTTTCAATTTGTTTTTTCAATAATTTTCATATAGAAATGTCAAAATATCTGTCAGCCACCAGTTTTGCTACGACTGTTGGAGGTCCCCAATGAGGGACTAGAACTAGTAGAAGTACCTGTACAGTGAGACTTACCCAGCATAGCAGCTTTCGGCACTGCTGTGGATTCATCAGGGCGATCACGATTCTGGCGTCCACGGCCTGCATAGTACAAACAGGACAAGGAAAAATCGTTCAAATTTCCAGCGAAAACATGACAATAAAATAACCCTATCATAGAGACACCAAGTCGCATTAGGCGGACATGACCCTCAGAAAGGTCCTTCATAATGGAAGTTTCTGGCTTTAAACGTTAATTGCTCTGATACGGTGCTGATATGTGGGGGTAGGGAAATACACGATGTAACATGTGTTTGTATCTGTTTTTCACAAAGACTAGGAGACTTGGGGTGTAGCCGTACCATTGGCCAATGGTATATAGACAGAACAACTGTATGAGAAATACTCTTTAAGCATGTGTATAAGATCCGTTTTGGCACTCTTGTTTATTTAAGCAATATTCACGGCGCTATGAAGCAAAAAATTATAACCAATATAAATTCCCAACTCATTATCCCTCAAAAGCCGAAAAATCCCTCACACTTCAAAACATAGCATGGCAAGGCGCAATTCTGTTTCAGTTGATCCACAGAAAATCCTTACACGAGCTGGGAGAAAATTGCCTGGATTTGATCAATATCACTAAACTTTTGATAGACATTCTTTTATCGTGATTTAAAAGAATGTCTGCCGATGACGTAAAACTATCCTGGTGCCCAAACAAAAGGCGTCAGTACCAACGTCACTGGCGATGTTGAAGTGGCTAACTCTTATGTTCTTTCTGTGGCAGGTGTTAGGCACATTTGTAAATAGTATGACGAGGCATACTTCACGAATGATACTTAACAACTTGTTTGTATACTTTTTTCTTTATCTACATTCTCAGTCACGAACGTTTCAAAACTTTCTATCAAACAGACAGTTTTGGTTTGATGAAATATAGTTGACATCTCTTGAGGCTGATCTGTTGGGTTGCTGATCAAGATCATATGTGTCTTACCCACTGTCACTGTGAATAGCCCATGCTCACTTTTACAGATATCTATCTAATATTAAATTGACTTCGCGTCGGAATGCGTTGAAAACTTCAATCTAAACGAATGGAATCCCCGTCACTCTGTGTCTCTGCTGAAATGGTACATAGTACTATGTCTCTTCGGTTCCGGCGATGGAGGAATCTCGGCCATACAGAAATGGTTGCGAACCTCATTCTATCTAAAACGGCTCCTCGTTTTTAGCGATAACAGTGATCGATAACCCTTTTACAGACGTAATCCTCGCCGACGCACATGTGCATGGGTCTGCAGGATTCCATTACCAACTAACATCCCCGGGCAGCCGCCGGATCTGTCTTCCCGTCTCTAGTGTTACTGGTTCGATGTGTTTTGATAGATGTTTCATGCGAGAGAATAGTTGGCAATTAGTTATGGTTCCTATAACGAATACGGTACAATGAGAGCGTTATTTTTGTTCTAACGTTTATTGGACTGAATTTTTATTGTCCTCCTGCTGCTTTGCTTGGCTGGTATGAAGGCTGGTGTGGCGCCAAAGACGTCAGCAGGGACGTACATGTATATCTAGACTGAATGGGGCGTCGGAGAGATCTTCACAACTGATCGGCTTAGTCAAACTTATCCTTGAAATCCGATGATGCTATACAGTTTTCAACTTTTTCTACCCTACTAGATATCATCACACACGTCATCCAGTATCTATATATCTCAAATAGACGCATCCGACTCAGAGTCCTCACAGCAGGAGACTGCTAAAACACCCGCGAGACTAGTCATTTCCTGCCCTAACTCAAATCCATAATTTCATTCTTACCATCCGCTACAGAAGAAGGCCTTCACCCTATAGGGGCAACAACATTTTTCAGATACAAGCTAATCTTCCAATAAACCTTCGTACATGTTTATTAAAATTACAAACTAACAGCCATGTCCTTCCCTAGGGTATGTTATTAACTAGACAACAGCATGACATCTAAGTTAAATGTCACGGTGGTTGATAATGCTTTACGCAAGGGAATGTCAAGAATCTAACCCGACGGCGTATATTGTATGGCTTGCTCATGTTTTATTTCTTGTCTAGACGCTTGTCTGTGAGCTTCCTTAAATGTACGGCGGTACCTTAAGACTGTTCGCTAAAGTAGCTTTACGTAAGTGCAGATGCAATAACTTAGGCTAATTGATCCGACAGTCAGATTATTCTGCATACGTACAGACACGTATCTAGAATGAATCCAGACATTTAATTTCCGGCGGTTGATGGCTGTTTTCCGACATGTATGGACGTATGTACATTTTAAGTACAGAATTAATCATCAGTCGTCTTAATATTAAGATAATAGTTAGGGAGCCCAAGTATGAAAGGAAAGCCAAATTAGATTGCACGTATGATGTAAGAGTAAGTAAGTATGATATAAGAGTAAGTAAATAATGCCTTAGAATTAGCTGTTTTAAGGACCTCATTGGATACAATGCAGCTACATTCTCCTTTGCCTAGAACATCTAATTACGCATGTATCTATCTAACTTCAAATTCAGTGTGTTAAAGATTTAACTTTATGTTCTATGAGACACTACCTACCAAATTGAATGTACGCGCAAATTACGCTGAGAAACCACTGCCCCACCCACCCCACTCCAACAGTCGGTCAACGAAGTTTCACGAGATACAGGAAATTACTTTTTGGTATTAGTGGGCAGTAAGTAACGTCTATCTGATATACTCCAAATTATACAATCAATTTTGGAGTAATCCCACTGCATAGACTCACTAATTAGACTATCGTGAAAACCAGTGATCCAGCGGAATGATATGCCGGCCCTCGGGTTACGTCTGTGACTCGGGTTGGGCCATGAATCATATTAGAATGAGCCACCCCCAAGCAAAGAAATTGTATTTTTTGTGATTTTCAAAGAAAATCCATATCCCATGAAATACAGGAATACTGTCTTGACCCCAAACTGCCTAACTTTAGTTTGTAACATTATCCGTTCCTTATTCACTTAAAGTTTTGATTTGTTTCACAATTTCACCATATCATACAGGACATGAGTTACATACTCTGCCTTTTATGATTCTCTATTTTAGAAAGTTAAATGTCGATGTCTATGCCTAATATGATGCCTAATATGATCCCGTCTGCGTGATGTCCCGACTAGGGAATTTGCAGCCTATTGAACTTGAACTTGAACTAAGATTATAAAAAAAACTGTTATCGTTCTATGTTGCTCATAGAGCTCATTACCTTGCACCAACTGTTTTACTGGTATGATATAAAGCAGGTTGACTTATGTGTTATCGAATAGCAAAACTTTAACTGTGAAAACGTCGTCTCTGAATATATGCTATTGTAGTCAATCATCATTATAAAACATCAAAGATCTACGTAGCTCTTTTTCAGCCATGCAAATTGGTATAGATACGTCCTTGACAACCGACGAACATACATTCTCGAAAGTCACAATCTATCAAATGATGATACGTGACAGGGATCACAAAAGTTACATGACAGATACCATGAGGTTCTCCAGCTGACTGAGTTGGGTGGTCACATCTTTGCCGAATCCTCCCGAAGCTTGGACGGTGATATTCGCCTCTCCCAGCAGCTTGTTCAGATCCGACGCAATCTGTGGAGCAAGGGGGCAACATTGAATGGCACTCCTGGTCGTAAAGTTAAGACTTAGATGGCTGTAAATATCGATTTGTAGAGGCATAGACGAGACATAAACGGCCGGTAAGAAGCAATGAAATTTTGAAGCTATCACAGTATCGGAAATTGCGTATGACATAAAGAGACACCTGCACATGAAAGGGATCAAAAGTACATACAACTCAAACGGGCAGCCAATTAGCAAATGCCAACGAAAAGTCAGACAGCATTACCACCATCAATTATCATCATTTACAGATCCCTGTGTCAGGTATAGAGAATGTATATGCAGAAAACACAATGAACAAAATGCCAGGGTGATATCACATCTCATGATAATGACAATTTTACTGGCTTCAATTATTCTGTTTCAAAGCAACACATGGGAACACAGCTGCAGTTCCAAAGATAGTGCTAGGGGGCTCTTCCTGAAAAGCTACCAACCAGCCAAAAATCATGACCCGGTCGCATGCATATACTTTTTTTTGTATTCGGTACCAAATAACATCATTTAAATTTTCAATACTCTATATCAAATATAATAACAATCCATTTATAGCGTCACCCTCACAATAACGCAAACACTGGAGCAAAAATGTTTATTTCTGAAAATAATTCTTATGACAAAATTAAATAAAGGCCTACAGAAAAATGAAGAATGGAGAAGTCTGGTGGCACTTGTCCACTCTACCCTCAAAAGTCATTTGGCCAAAATTGAAAGGGTTTTGATCAAAATTACAGAAGAAAAGGAAGAAGATCTAGACACACCAGCAAAAACAATACATTTCCCTCTATATATAGGTTGGCATCCTTAACCGCTTTGCAGTCGATTTTGTTGGAAGGTGAATGATGATGCAATTAAGGGGCGACTTGTACGGAGATGTGATGGATCTGTAGACGACGGGAGGTATTATAGTCAACAAAACGACTTGAGGAACACGGTCAATACTTCTAATCGGATGCAATTGTGTGTAGTCCTGGGCTGTCACACCGGTGACGCGGGTACGGATGAATCCCTCGTTTATATTCTTCACTGTTGAGCTCATCTGCCAGGCCGCTCTGCGCCCTTTAGTTGGTCAGACGTAGTTAACGTGAAAGAGTTAAAGGTGATCCTCAGACTTATCCCAATCAAAGGCAGGGTCTTCCGGCTACTGCGGGCTGATTAAAGTTCCTGTCGAGTAAAATTTGCTATCAACTCCCTTTAGATGGGAGATTGGGTGATGATTCTGCTTCTTGGCAATGGATATCTACTTTCCTTTGTTCAGAGAAAGATTAAATTTGAACCCATTCGATCTAATACCAGATCTAGTTGGACGAAAGACTAAAGTTCCACGATCTCATACCTACTCTAACAGCCATCCCGTCAGTAACTATGTAAACATATTCCACACGATGTTCATTACCACATGCGTATGGATCTTTCCTTTATTATCACAGCTGTTTTCAGAGTCATTATGCAAATAGGGCATTGATTCTCTTACTTTTATTGATCGACTAAAATAATGGTGTATATACGTCTTTGCATGAGCTGCGATGTAAAATGAAGCATACCGTCGTATATCGATCGTCAGTGTCCTGGATGGTGGCGACCTTGTCCCAGCCGAAGTGCTGCAGCAGCGCGACCCTGGCCGGGTTGTGGACGTTGTCCGTCTGTATGGTTTTGAACAGGAATGGGTAAGTCTTCCTGTCTGACAGGGTCGGCGAGTACGTCGAGTACGTGATCTGGAAAAACAATAAAAATGGGCTTTAAATTGGATTGAATATTGGCTCCGCGCTGACCCCAATATCGTGCGTGTTGTGCCCTGTTGTACGGTCTAACGCCTCAGGGGAGGAGTGGGCAAGCCGGCAACACAGGCACGAAAGGCAGGATTGCGCAGCAATAACAAATCAACTGCACTGTAGAGTCGCTACCCAATGGTTAACTCCCCAGAGGCGATGTTATTTTGGTCTGAAGAACGTGACGTTTGTCAACTCTTTGTGTAATGTGCCAGTAGTTGGGACTGTTTATTATGGTCTCCACACAGCTTAGTATGATTCGTCCCTGAAGGTCTCCTCATTCTGTGTTTGGGACATTTTTAAATCGGCGTCAGTCAATCGTCACTCGTAGGGTCAAATGTCTTGGAAACAATCTCAATAGGATTTTTCACTTTCTTGTTTTGATTGATTTTGTGGCCTTGATACTCCATACGTCTTGTGCGGGGGTAGAGAGGCCAATCCTTTGTTCCAAAGCACAGAGTAGTAAATGACTTCCTCTAGCATTTCAATCTACGCGTACTCGGCTAAAAGGAAATAAGTGTTGCTCTGCTGTGATCCCATCCTTCAGCAACGTATGTAGGATTACAGTTATGGTCTGAACAACCTTATGAGTAGTGGACCACTTTACCCATTGATTGGCCATTTCTAAACATTCGGCATAAATGCTACTGAATATACTTTTTAGTTTTAGTTAGTTTTAATAGATTTGTTTCCGCAAGCTTACTATTCTGCTCCCCTGTGCATCTAAAGCAGTAGTGCACAAGCAAGGTCATCAGCTTACTTAACTGTAGAGATGGTAAGATTGTTCTAGCTTCGAATTTGAAAGGTGCTTCGATCCTTAGGTAATGCTTTACGACTGGCAGTGTACTTAAGATGCAAGCTGATTTGACGCAAGTGAGATAATTTGCAGGCGGCAATTTTCCGCAGCCAACATTTTCAATAACCTTGTGATGCAAAATGCTCAAGCATAAACAAAAACGTTATGATCATGTGAATCATTTTGAACATGAGATGTGTATACGTACATGAATATGTCTGTATCGTTTTATGAGGCAAAACTGACTTTAGTTAGTATCTGAATAGCAATCGTATCAAGTTCAACAAAGACGCATTTCTTTGCAAACTCACAAGTAATAGAAAGTACAGCATCATTTTAAGCATACTTGAATTTGTACACAGAAACAGAAACAGCTGCCACAAACGACTCACCGGCTCTAGGGCACGATTTGCTGTCACGGAGTCATGTTTTGAATCCTAAACGCTACTCGTACCACCGTTATCTCACAGCACCATTCACGTGTCGGCTTCAGCTACCGTCTGGTATTCTGCAATCTATAGTCATGCCATGACATTGGGTGGAGGCTAAACGTAGCCTGGCCAACAGGGCACACGTTACCGTGTCTGCAAATCCAGGAAGTATCAAGTGTATCAAAACTGACATACTTTTGCAGCTTCAGTCAGAGTCCCAACAACGATCCCTGTCCTTCCACTGACTCCACCGCACGCTGCAACCGCTGAGCGATCAAAAGTGCAAAATGTATAGATCGCTATAGCTAAACCGATTTCATGCCAAAAAAGACCTGATTTTTTTTACGTTTTGTAAACATACGTTAACATCGGGAATCACATACCAATTATCATATCAACGGACGTCCAGTTTTGGTCACTCAATGGTCGCTCAGCGATCACCGTCCATTGACTTACCGAAGTTAACAAAACTCCACACGTAGGATTGATTGACTTTGACAATTAATATTGTCAGGTACACAGGTGCGCCAACCAAAGCTTCATGAAGGATATCCTCTCAGGAGTCCACGAGTATAGTACGTAACTGCAGCTAATAGAACCATCCATCGTGGATAAGCGCTGTCGATGTACCGTCGCTTCACGTATAACACAGTTGACAGGAAACCAATATGTGTGTGACTCACATGCGCAAGGCAATGCCATTGTATTTAAGCATTTCCTTTCAGAGGTTTCGATCCGTTGGGATGGCGGAATGAAGAAGAAGAAAAGAAACTACGAGATATGGAGTCTCAGAAAACAAATGGCATCCATTCACTCCTTGTTCTCGTGCAATTAGATGTAATGATCTGATAAGGTTATGTGCTTGAAAGATGTAGATAACGTGTTGTTGCCGTGTGTAGGTGAAGTGTTCTGACCTGGATGAGATTGTAGATTGGTGCAGTCTGTGCGATGAGATCCACCACCGTTCCGCCGGGTCCCAGGACCATGATCATCGTGGGCTCATGGAACATGGTGAGGATGAAGTGGTACACGGCAATGGCACGGCCACCCTGCAACAGGACATCGCGTTAACGGGACGTCATCGCAGGTTGCAGAAGTTCCAAGATTATTATCATTATACTATTTGCAAACAAATCAGTGATTTGCAATATCTTGCTTTGCAATTTTGCTATTACACTACATTGTCACGTGAATGGGCAATACCACCATTTGTAATGTATAATTAACTACAGTAGTAATCTAACCAATGCACGGATATGGCTATTTGGCAGTTGGACAGTTCCCATCATAAGTTGTCTACCCATTTTCTGCCATACTACATGTATACTACGATGCTGCATGTACATTGAGACACGAAGTAGAGGTCCTTATGATCTTGTTAACGATGACGTTGCGGAAGAACTCACCTCAAATTCAATAAATTTCTATCACCTCAAGGTGCTTCCACCAGACTTAAAGAGACTTTCCAAATATGATAATATACTAATATACGATAAAGGTCACAGAGGTCCAGTATCGACATCATGTCTCAAAAAAGATCATATAAACCGTATTATGGGCTAAAAGGTCTCCAAATATCTTTCCTGTGAAATGATATCCCTCCACCTGAGTGCAAAGCTTGCTTAGTTGAAGTTTTGCTGGGGCACTTGCATATTTCAACTGCTGTTAACGTTTACTAACACATACCGCAAAAGGATAAAGATGTTATCAATGATGAATGATTAGGGAAGATCAGGTGATGAAACATCAGATCTCCTTATAAAACAAACCCATCAATCTTAATTTTACGAACACAGTACTTTACACAGAGGTCAGGGGAGGTTGAGGAGAATGCAATTACGACTTGCTGGTGTGTAACTTGGCAGGGTACGTTAAAGTTTGATGCAATAGAGCGGTACTCTTGGGAAATAGGGATCAACGCAGGTCGGGAAATAATTTGTATTTATGAGTTTGGTAGAAGCCCATGATACTATTCGTTGTATGGTATTGAAATATGCCAAGGCAGCATGAAATATGTGTTAAGTCCAGCAAACCCCATGTTATTTTGACGGTCTTGCTGTTTAGCTCTTAATTAAGAGACCGCTTAACAGATTTAACTTTATCTACATTCAGATATTTTAGATATAATAGCCATAACAGTTTCAAGCTGTAAGTAGAAACTATAAGGTAGACGTCTTAAGACTTTTGTTACATAGCAGAAACTTTTAGTAGATAGTCCACGTGTCACACGTCAGAGCCAGCAGGTCCGAAACTGGGCCGGTGGTTGAGGGTTGGTCAAGATATATTCCTTTAATTCCCCCTCCTGTTTTAATGGGAACGTCGATGGAGACTCAGTAATTCGTTTTCCTTGAAATCGCAACATTTCATTCCTGTGATCAAAGGCTACAGTCAACTTCAGAGCTAGCAATGAAGAATTTGTTGGATGCATTTGAAAATCTGTATTTGTCCAAGCTATGTCTGCAATACTAGAAGGACTTTCCTACAACACATTTCCCTTGCTTTTCGATCCAGCCCGGGCAATCAATGTACGGGTGATTGTGTTCCTTCTGATGAACTGGCTGTCGGTGAGGTACATAGCTAAACATTAAACTTTAATAGAAATCTAACGTTGGTGATACCGGGCCGTGCGTCTTTCTGACCCATTTCCGCGCAGCAAATCGATCCTCGGGCGTTCATCGGATACACCGCCGTCTTATCCTGATCAGGTAGTTCATTTTTACAGCGGAGTGGTTTTGGGATGATTTTCTGGCAAATAAGTCAGCTGTAGTTCTGCCCTCCTCCCCTTGTGAGTCTGTACTTTCATACTTACTTATTTCCCCTTCCTCCCTGGTGGGACATCAGCTCTGTACAGTACACACAATCTATATTAAATCGCCAAAGCGCATTAAGGCGTAGATAATGAGCTAATGGTGATATCGAGAGAAGATGGAGAAGGAAACCAGAATGGAGGCACATCGCCATTAGCTGTGTGTACCTAATAAGATACTTTCCTCTACCTGCGATGATATGGCCGCCCGATGGACCGTGTGAATTTGGTGGGTCGTTTACGGGTCATTCGCCGTTCCACATCTTAAAACAAGTTGGATATATGCACTCATGCTTTGTGTGTTCCACTCATCAAAATTCCCATTGGGTACCTTTCTGTTCTGGGCGGAAAAAAGTCTATTAAAAAGATATGACAGGAAACCGACTCAGTGCGAACCGTGATAGTTTCATGTCTACAGGCAGCTGAAAAGCCATAAAAGTCCAATTTAGTCAGCCCACACTTCCAATATCTAGAGATTTTCGTCCACGGAAATTCCATTAAAGTGCGGAAAATAAGTTTCCCACAATGAATACCCGCCTTCGAGACGAGGTAAAATCCCAGTCCCAATGCACAAGGCTAAAACGATTTCCATGCGAAACAGCTCCCTTTATAAGCCTTCAAGGGTTTACATTATAACGGTCTGCGTGGCGGTACGTACGCAATGCTCACCCATAAAGTCCTACCATAAAATGAATGTTATAAATATTCATCCCTGAAAGTGCCTAATATGTGTTAGATTTAAAAATGTCCACACCCTGTATCAATTTTGCATCTTACACGGATTTGAAATGATATTTGATCAGAAACGGAAGACCTACCATTTGTTATGCTTTTAGGTTTCTTCCTGTTTTACTTGTATGTCTGTAGTGTTTTTGTATTATTTTAATGATGTATTGTACATGTTATATGGGTTTTTTTACCTGAAATAAAGAATGAATGAATGAATGAATGAGAAACCTTATTGCCGTTTATGAGTATTTTTGTCCTGAAATACAGTTCAAATCGTCTACAAGATTTGAGATCTGACTGAAGTATCGTGTTATAGTCTGCCCTGGCCTATTTACGTTTCATTCCTTAGCGAAATTCCCCCAGACCAATTTCTCTTGGGCTTTTATTTACCTTTACGTTAGTAACAAGTCACATCTATTCAATTATTTACGCCAGCTGACGTTTAACTTGACAGACTTGCACACTAAAAGTCAACCACGTTCATTCCGTTATATCCCTTCTTTACTACCAAATGAATCATTCATAACATGGCGGAAAATGCTGTGTTGGTCGGTAAACCTCTCTGCATTCGACATGTTCCAGGCCTGGGGAAAAAATGTTGTGTTTCCTGTTTCAGTCCTGAAAAAATTAGGGTCGGTAGATAGGCTTTTTTTCTTTTCTTTTTTTAGACTTCAGTGATATCCACATAGGGGTCCAACTTATGCAATACAGTTTAACGAAGTAAATCACGAGGACACTTTTATTTTCAATGTCAATGTTAGAAAACCAATTGTATAACGTTTTATCACTCAGGTGTCAAATCATGGACCTAGAAAAGGTTGATCAGCTCGAGAAAATGTATGTCCCTTGCAGGGGTCCACACACTGAAAAGAGGCTAGGGTCGGCAGGTTTTTCTAGCTAGGGTCGATCGGGAAACAGGAAACACGACGTTTTTTCCTAGGCCTGATAGACTACATGCTGCTGCTGCGTCAGACTACATGCTGCTGCTGCGTCTGTCACGGTAACTCACGTTTTACTGTCACCCAAGCAGGGCGTCTTAATCAAACTTCTTTGGACTGGCTCTGACAGGCGTGTGCCTGCAGTGTACGTGACTCTGTACCGGGCATGCGTGATACGTGTCGTTATTGGTATCCCGATGGACCGCTAGAAAATTACGTGGCAATCTCATCCGGGAGAGCAAACCTCTGTCTGTGTTGACTTTAATGCGTTACATTAAGATCAATAATTTAAGCTTCCCGATACGCCCGTACGTTAGGTGAACTCTGGTTCCATCACGACTGACACACTGATGTTGTAAAGTGATTTCCACAGAGATCTCACCACGCCGCTGGAGACTGGGGCATACCGTATAGTCGACATCCCGCTGAACCAAATGTCATTAATGTACCTGGAGAAGGTTTCATGTTACACATTACGGGAACTACTCATGTAAAATTGTAGTGTGCCTGTAATGTGCTTCTGCATGTTGTATACATTGAGACTAACGGGATCATTTCAGCGTGTGGCACATCATGTCGTCTGATATGACACAACTTGCGGGCTTTCCGTTTCCAAATGCGTCAACTTTAACTTCATGTGAACCTGAGTAAAGTTAGCTGCAGTTTCACCGGTGGTAAAATCACGAACAGCTCATCCTATGAACATGTCCTTCAAAACACACCTAATAGATTATACGGAAAGTTGCCTTCCATATATATACTTACGTCAGAACAAAGCAGCGCTAGTTCATAACATAGATAGACATCGGTGCTAATATTGCTACCAAGCCTTCTGGATTTTAGTCTGTCTTATCTACATTTACAATATATTACATAATGAATCTATTTGGCATATTTCCTGCAACAGTTAAGATCTGCACATAAGTTATAGCATCATGGGATTATTGCTGTGCGATCTCTGGGCTGTTTTCCAGCTGTGCCTGTAGTCACTTTAATACTAAGAATGAAAACAGAGCGGTTCCCAGTAGTGTACCATGCTGTGCTGTGGGTAGTTTGTCTTCACTACGTCGGTATAGATGAGGTAAAGGAACAGTTAAATCACGATGATTGTAAGGTATGCACAATTTCAAATACATCCCTCCGCTGGGCGCCATGTTGGAGGTGGCAATTAGTTATTCAATCACTCGTAGACTTCCAAAACATGATGAAAGAGGTGTTGAGTTCAGAGTTACGTGAGGGAGATGATTTATTCAGTATAATTAAGTTGAATAGAAACAGATGTTGTATGCTAGTTTATCTCCTGTGTATTCACAGTGGCAATGGGCCAGCCGCTAGCGACCTTGAGAACCCCCTGAGTGAGGACCCGGGGTGGTCGTGCAAGTCAACATCTGCGGCAACTCAATCATTTCGGATGACGTAGGCTTTCTTTGTATACTTTATCCAGACTCCCAGCTTCTCGGCTGCTTCCGCAATTTTGAAAAACAAGCCATGATTGTCCCATCTGGTCCGTCGGTGCAAAATGTCAAAACGCGTCTTCCCTGTATTCGAAACAATTGTGTCCACAGACTTGCCTTGTGCCGAACGTGTGTATGAGATACCAAGATACCATGTAAATGTGCAATAGGCACACATTAGCGCTATAATTGAATCCCATATCGTATTTCATAGACACCTAATGCAGAAAATCACAACGTACGGCCATGTAGATTGAGAGAGACGTACCCGTGGTAAAATCAAATGGGCATTGTGAAGAGAAAATTAGTTTTTCAACCAGACGTCAGACCTTACGATGGTTTCGTGGTTGTCAAATCATCTGCTTCAATGGCCCATATGAGTTTGATAGGCTAATAATTTCTGTGATACCGACTGCATTATTGCAGCTTAGAAGACAGTGTGCTATGAATAGAGATGGATGGAAGATTGGAGCCCTTCTATTTACAGGTCAATACAAGACATCTCGGAGAAAATGGGACATTTGTCAGTCCCTGTTGAGAGAGTCGTTTGTTTACCTTTCGGGAAGGTTATGAGCCTACCGCACACACGTAGGTATAAAGAGGAATCCAGACTGGATTTCACTAAAATCTGCACGCTTTTCAACTTCAGGCCAGCAGCTGTTGTATAGTCCCAATACACAGTGTTTCAGTAGAAAATCTTGTGCTGAAATGTCTTATTATATTGAATTAACACTTTTTGTAGAAACTTCGATGTATTCCTATGTATACTCCACTGGTACTTTGTGTTTTGAAAATACAGTCCTGTAGTTATCTACCGTCGTTAAACAACATCAATAAAACAATCAATAAAAAGGCTATTTACACAACAATCGATACATAAAAAACTGCTTTCTGTGAATCTACTAATTTGTAGATCTGGATGATCAGGACGATCGCGAGATCAAAAGGCCCCAGATGTAGACACCCGATGAAACGTCACCCTTTATCAATCAATATACACCCCTGCCGGTTAGGACAAGGTGGAGAAGATAACTTCTGTCAGTCGTATCAGGGGGTGTCAGCATCTAGATACATCTATCTACTGTACACGAAACTTTCATGATAAAGCTGGTTTCAGATAAATCCTAAAGGTACACGGTAAACGACTGTGTGTTGTGCCCGTAGCTGTCATCTTCTTGTGCACACTTTTGTGTACGCCATGCTCAAAAATGCAAGCCAAGGTAACACAGTATTATCGTTAACAGTGACGATCTAATGACCATGAGTACTTACCCTGAACTGCACGTTTGGGATCTTGAGATTGTAGCCTGGCAAGATGTCCGAGCGATTGTTGATTTGCTCTATCGCCATTTCACAAGCGGGGAGCAGTCCCTGGTAGGCCGGGTCCGTCAGGGCAGTGGCCGGCGAGTTCGCCTGCTCGATCATCCCGAAGGACAGGTCCTTCTTCTCGGACCGTGCCCCGGTGGA